TTAATTAAATTAACAATTGACTCTGCCCAATTGAAGTTATAAGCAACTCGATGTTGAGACTTGAGCTAATGTTTTCATACCGAAAAATCACCTACTAGTGCAATTATACCAAGATTAAAATTTAAGAAAATATAAATTAATACTATTAATTATAGTAATTAATATTATTTGTATTTAGATAACAATAGTCAATATAAATATATGATCTTAATTAATACATGCAAATGGTATACTTATAAATTAATAATTATAACAATAATAGTTTAATAATTGACACGACAAAATAGAAAGAGAGACACGGTCTTACACTATTTAAAAATTTTAATTGATTAAGACATGTACGCTAAATGAAATAATAAACAAAACAAAAATGTTGTTACACAAAGAATCAACCTAATATTATTGACGTTGTAGATGTATAAGGTGATAATAATATGAATCCTTGTTGAAGAAGTTGGAGAAACCGACTCAAGAAGAAGCACAAGACAGAGTTTAAAGCCTCGTGTGATTTTTGTAAATCGCTACTATATGAAAATATAAAAAGTTATTAGGTGTATTATGATAACATTTTATTATTTAATTTTTTTTTTTTAAACTGATTGTAATGTACTTAATTTTCATACCTCCAGATTATCAATTGCCTACTCATATAACATGGTCCTTTCATTTAAATCTTTCAACAAGTCTATAAGTGTTGACCTTTTTTCCTATAGTCAATCATTTTTTTGACAAATCAATTTATATTTATACCATAAATTGTCAATTGTTTTTTTGAACAAAATTATAGTATTTTAAGGCTTTTTTAGGTGAATTAATTAATCAACTGTAAGGTCCCCAAATCTATTATTTGTCTTTTCATTTTCTTCTAGCGCATCATAGGCATGGATGGGCAGTAATCAGTTACATGTATCAAAGTTTTACGTAACCCGGTTATTTTGTAACTTGTAACTTGTAACTAGTTACTCATTTTCCTGTAACTTGATATCAAAGTTACATTGCAGACTGCAGTACATAATATTAATATAGTATGTACAATAATATTAGCTACTTATTAAGTATAATATTATTTATTATAGCACGATTAATACTATCTTTAGTAGTAATCGTGTATTATAGGCAGGCCTTATCAAGCCTGTAATCGGCTGTTTTGGAACATGATATTGGGTGATGTACTGGTGTTCGGCGTTGACGTATTGTTGATAACTAGGGCTCAGAAGTTGATGACCTTAAAAACAATAAAAAATGCCCTAAAAAA